AGTGTTTGTTCTTCGTTATTGCTTTAATATATATAGTTGGCGGTAATAATGATTAAATTTGAGATTTGGTGTTGATTTATGAACTGTGGATAGAATGTATGCCAGACTGATTGAGACTTAACCTTACAAAATTTGATATTATACGTGCACTAAAATTAAGTTGGACAGTGTGATACTATGAGTTGATTCATATAATTTATAGGTTGATATAGTTGGACATAAATGCTTTACTTAAATCATACTAAATTACTTATTCTTAAACCAAATTTAACATAGTTTAGGGTGATTTTGCTATTGTAAGAAGATACGGATGTGGACGGGGATTCCATGTGTGAAAATTTTTGTGTGAATTGTTTTAGATTAACATGATAAAATTAGGCAAAAATCTTAAGTTGGAGGTCGATTTGCTTGAATATGTGTTTAATGAGGGATATTGCACTAATTAGGATAGAAAAAAATTTAAAAGACATCTCTTCGTAACCTTTATAACTCGAGTTATTAAGCCTGTTAGGGTATTTACAATTTGGTGCCATAAAATCACCTGATTTGGGAGTCATCGATCAAAAGCTCGTTACATGGGTCATATAGAAAGCTTAAGGGAGAGAGAGTAAAAAAATTGAAAAAAAAAAAGTAGGTACATGAAACAGAAGACGCACCAAATGTCATGGTTAAGTCTCAAACACTTATTTGAGAAGATTTGACTTTTGAGAGGTTGAAGCAATCAAAGAATTGGAGAATCCTTATTTGTTGTTGTGTTGATTTACAATTAGTAGAGTCTACCTGAACTAGAGAGAGTGATTATAGTAATGAAAAATTCAACCTTATATTACACACTAGGAAAATAGTGAAAAAAGAATAAGTTTGGGAGTGTGTGAATCATACGAGAGGTGAAATGATATATTGGACCGTAGAGAGTCAGGAATTGAAGCAACTTGTAATTCATGATTGTCTACTTAATTCTTTACACACACACTTCAGTTTTGAATTGGAAGAGTGTATATTAGTTTGGTATTGTGACTTTGAAAAAGTTTGTAGATTTAATAATGTGATTTCAAATACTAAGATAAAAAATTAGATTGTCTAACCAAATATTTTTTCATGTTTGTGTGTTTGTTGTTATTTATCTAATTTTGTTTGAGGACAAACAAATGTTTAAGTTTATGGGTATTTGATAAGTATATTTTATACACTTATTCGGATTCTAAAATATCGATATTTGGTAGTTCTTTTGACAAAATATATCTTAAATTGTTGTATTTTACGTTATATATGTAAAACTCAATGGTTGAACGAAGAATCAAAAGAAATGAGCGAAAAATTGGTGAAAAATGGGTAAAATCCAAAGTCAGGTGACCAAATTGCAATCTTCAATAGTTAATTCGAACCAAAAGATGATATTTGAAAGATTTTTAGGAGACAATTGGATGAAATTAGAACTCAAAAAGGAATAGAATATGATCAAAAACAATTTTCAATCGTACGAGTTATATTCCATAATTTTAGTTGAATATTGAATCCGATTTTTGGTACAGTAAAAGTTCGAACGGAAAAAATTATATTTCTATCAGAGTTTTATCCCTTTGAGTTAGATTTCAAACTCACTTTGAATTGCATCAATCAGATATTGAGAGAGAAAGTTATGGTCAAAATACTGATTGATGTGTAGAGACAAAAAATCTGTACTCGAATAGAACTTTTCTTATTTGATTGGAACTCTTTTGGAAGACAATTTGGACGTGATTTTCAACCAATTTTCGACTCTTACAAATACATAACAGCAGAATACATATTGGAAACCTTTGATATACATATTATACTCCAATATTCATTAATTATTATACCAATGGAGGAAAATTCATAATTTTTGTGACAAATTGAAGGAGATTTGTAAGAATTCAATCAAGTGAAGATTCAAACCTGATTTTTGGACAAAAAAAAGAAGGCGCAACTGGAGATTCATTAAGAAACCATTGAAGCGATTCAAGATTCATCTTCATCTTCTCAATTTATCAAAAAATTCGGGATATATCTTTTCACTTAAATATGATTTCTTGTAATTTCAATATGTTAGACTAATTTTATACATTGTTAGGATGCGATGAACCATTGTTATGGCATTTTTAGTTTTTAATTAATTATTTGGACTTTAATTTGATTTGATTTGTGAATGTTTATTATCGTTTATCTTTTTTTTTTTTCAATTGTTTGATCATCAATTGAATTGTTAGTGAATTTTATTGTTATCGAGAGAGACAATTGAGTTTAAGCACATTATAATAAATATTGTAAGATTCTATAGATGATATAGACATATATCTATACTTTACATGGTTTCAATATATGTTCTAGTACTTGTTAATACATTTATCATATTTGCATCTTTCATCGAGAGATAGAAGGGTCACATGAGGGGAATATATTTGATTGCTATCGAGAGAGGCTTTCAATTAAATTGGGAACATTGAAATAAACATTGTAAGATTCGATAGAGGATATAGACATATATCTATATTTTATATGGTTTCAATAAGTGTTCTCATACTTGTTAATGCATTTATCATATTTGCATCTTTCATCGAGAGATATAAGGGTCACATGAGGGGAATATATTTGATCGCTATCGAGAGAGACTTTCAATTAAATTAGGAACATTGACCAACGTGAATGATTTTAAATTGTTACTTTAATTGTTACACTAAAATGGAATAACAATGGAGATTTGACATCTTAGCAATATATATCACATATTTGAAAAACATATTTACTTACTTTTATTAGTTTAATTGATAATTTAGGTATTAGCATATAAAAAAATCACAAAATATATTTTCTAGTTGATTAAAATTGCAATGAATTTGAACTCGATCAAGCACGTAGTTCTCGTGGGTTCGATACTCTATTCACTACTTTATTACTTGTTCATGATCCCGTTCACTTGCAGGTTTTCAAACGATCATTGACGGTTATAGATGGCAGCATTTTCCAAAGAGTAGGCAACTCGTCATCTTCTCCATTATCTTCAAGTACAGTGCAAGTTCTCTGCAGTCTGCTTACCAAATATATCAAACTTTCTATTACTGTTCCTTACGATCTTCCTATGCTTGCGATGAGGAATTCAACAACAACAAAATATACGATTTAGTATTGAATTGTAATCTCCGTTGACCTGCAAGTGAAAATGAAATTGATGTTGTCCGTCTAAAGCAAAGAGCTTGTGAAAGAAGTTGTCGATTCCTCCTTTTTTTCTCTTCCAAAAAGCAAGTAGATATTCAAAGTCAACAATCGTGAATATGAGTATAAGGAAGTCCATATTACCCTTAAAGTTTAGATGAATAGTGAAGAATGAATATAGATAAAATGAGATAAAAAAAGCTTCACAAATGAACAAGTAAACGGCATGTTACCTCTTTTAAAATAGTAAGGATATTAGATAGAACAAAAAATGATAACACAATAATTCTCCCACGGTGTTCAAATTCATAGAGAGAAAAGGATAGATAGAAATTATTTTCTTCGTTTCTTCACCTGTTTAGTCCAAAATTAGTTTTTGATTCAATTTAAATAACGTGTCACATACCAGTGTACTTTGGAGAATATCATAGAATGCTTAAGTTACCAAATTCGTTAAATTAAAAGTTGGAAGTTCGTGATTTTCAAATCATATCAAAATTTGATTAGAAAATTTTGGGTAAATTCTTAATCTTTATTTCTAATTATAATATAGACATGAACATCTACGAATGATTTGAATCCTTGAATTAATATTTTTTTCCGTTTCCGATTTTTTATTATTTTTTTAATTTTTTTTTCGCATTCAACACATACCTATTTATAAACAACAATATCAACATTTGTAAGTCACGTTCTACAAATAAACGCATATAATATAAATGATCAGTTGGTAGATCAAATTGATTAACCACATTCTAGTAACTAAGCTAGGGTATCAAACATGCAACATAAGTAATTATTCATCCATCTATGAAAATAAAATAAACACACATCTAAAATAAGAAATAACATATCAAAATATCATAACTTTTTTTGTTCTAGCACTGTGTTCTCACCTTATATGAACGGCTATATTTCTTTGTGAGGATACTCGTCTCTTATTTGTACACACATGATTTGCCGTCACTTTTAACGAAAGACATATTGAAATCGAAGAATGCTAAATACTAACTGAATATGAAATAATAAGAAACTTAAGGTTGATTTTATGTTGGATTTCATGCACAATTTTAATTACATATTTATTGATAAAAATTCAAAATAGTGCTCTATTATATTGAGATCCCCAAATTTCTGAGTGAAATATCGAAAACAGTAATTTAGGTTAAAAAATAAAAATAAAAGAGAACCAGAAGAAACCCCTGTAAAGTTGAATGTGGAGATCCTCATCAAGTAAGGGAATCTGAATTATAAAGAATATTGATTAGAAGACCATCTTTGATGTTTTCTTCAATTATTAAGTGCATATCCAATTTTAAATGGCCCGTTTTAAGGAGCAATCTTCATATGCCTCAGCCCGAGCCCAGCCCGTGCAGGCCTGTTTTAAGTCCTGAGAGAGAGAGAGCAACTGGAACAGAAGGGGACAAGCGGCTGAGGGTTTCTCCGGACACATCGTGACGTTAGACTGATTTCTAAAACTGCTTTGGTTTGGGAAGGTAGTGTCAGATTTATTTGTAATGATTATTTTATTGTTGTGAATGATTTAATTTTAGCACAACTCTAAGATTCTCATCTTGTACCTCCTTGGAATTTATTTTGTTTTTCCATAATTGTTGTTTAATCTTCCTTACCCAACAAGGAACACCATCTTTTTTGAATTATGATGTTGCTGTATACGGTTTTCCCTTTGCCTTCGGAACCGTCCGCTCCTCTAGTGTAATCGGTGAAATATCCAGGACCAAAATCCAACTGCCTCCACTAGACCCCAGGTGGCTCCGCCCCTGGGTTAGGGGCACATGTTGAAAACTGAAACCCTAGGATTGAAGGGAATGCAAGGGCAAGAGAATAAGAAGATGGGTGGTTCAAAGAGAAAGATGAAGCCGGTAGAAATGGCATTTGATTCAGATGATGATGAGCCTATTCTGTCATTGCTAAAACTGAAAGGTAAAAGAAACAAAAAAATTAGGTCAGGGTTGGATGGTAGTGGAAATAAGGGAAAAGGGATTGAGAAAATGGCAGTTGAAAATGAAGAGTTGGGTGGTATGGGCGATACGTTGGCGAGTTTTAGGAAGAAATTGAAGGGTCCGAAAAAAGATTGTGGGTCTGATGCAGTAGTTGGAAAGCATTTGGGTAGCAACATTGTGGCTTCCTCATGTCAGTCTTTCAAAGGATCTGCTGAAAATGATGATTCGGATGCAATGTTACTGCATGATGGGGAGAAAAATCAGGTGAGTGAAATTGGTGGATCTGATGGGGATGGGACAATTGGCAAGGCCTGCGAGGTGAAGCACAAAACGACAAGCACGGGATCCAAGTTTAGTTCAAGGGCAAACAAAAATGGAAGGGAATGTCATGATGATTTGAATAATCAAAGATATGGAAATAATACATTACGTGATGAGAAAGAAAGTGCAGCAGCAGATGAATATTTGGAAGATTCCTTGTTTACTTATGTCCAAAAGGTTCAGTCAAGCATGATTAGGAAATCACGTGGCTCTTCACGATTGAAACAGGGAAAGGAAACTGAAACTTCTGATGATATGTTAATATCAAGTTCCGTTTCTGGCTCAGACGTTCTTCCTCCACGTGTCTCAGTTGGGGAATCTAGGTCCGTGTCAAAATTGGTCAACAAATTCCCAAATTCTGATTACAGTTTGCTTTCAGCACATGAGGGGGATTCTATGCAGTCAACCTGGATTCATCAGACTGCTGATGTTAATTTGCCTCATGTTTCAGACCATGTACAAGGCAATTTAATTTGCAATTATTCAAAGAAGCTGCAAGAGCTTTCTGCTTCACTAGAAACAAATGAAATGTTGAGATCCAATGATGCGGAAGAAGAAGCATCTCTCAAAGCAATCTCTGAGCGTTCAATTTCTGTTTCCGTGGTCCAAAGATCCGATTCCTGTTTTAGGGCATGTTCTGGTATGATTACTAGTATCCATGATGGTAAAATCAATTTTGAGAGCAATGAGAATCATGCCGATTTAGCTGAGGATGCACATGTTTCAAATTATATTATCGATACTATTTCTGGCGATTTTCCTAATCTGAATCCAAAGGACTATTGTTTGCCTCCTTTTCAAGAGCCCACGGTAGGGGTAAAACATGATAAAGAGGATGATTTATCTCACGATGATTCGAAGCTACCGGTTGCCCCAAAACAGATAGAGAAAGGCCACTTTGATAAAGTTTCACCAGCAGAAGATTGCAGTGACCACTTTGATTCACAATTGAATGCAGTTCCAATTGGCCATATCCCAAGTATGGACCCTAAAATTACCTCTTCAGATGGCAGAGAAATTCCAGAATTCTGTTTAGACAACATATCATTTAATAGGGAATGTGATGATACATCTCAGCTTAAAAACTTGGAGCTGTCAACATCTCTGGCCGAGTGCGTGAGGAAGATGGGAGATGACGTGAAATCAGAAAATCGAATTAATTCTGACTTAAGTTCTGAAGATTTTAGGCGATTCCCATTTCAATTATCATCATCTGCAGCATATGCACCACATGATGAACGTAGATCCAGTAGTGATGGTCTGATTAGAATACCTGGTAAATGCATTGAAGATACGGATATAGCTTCGGTTTCTTCACAAGAGGGGGATGGCCAAGTCTCTGAAAGCAGATCATCTCCAGTGTCAGCACGTGGAGCCCGCAAATATGTTGTGGCTTTCCAAAAGCATCAGGATGAAACCCAAAAAACTGGTGACCGTGGACCATTTTCTCAACCTTCTCATCCAATGTCGAAAGGTTCGTTTATTAAAGGCCATGAACTTCTTTCTGGGAATGAAGAGGCAGATGGGATCTCTTCGCCATCTAGTTTACTGGACCATGATGGGATCTGTGTAGAAGATATAGGATCCTTGGCTGATCCTGAAACTAAAGATAATGGGCTATCAGCTGGCCAGCGTACTGCTCGCAATGCTAAAAAGCATAGGCATGGGGACATGGCTTATGAGGGGGATGCAGATTGGGCGATTTTGATGCACGGGCAAGGTTTTCCTGTTGGCCATATGGTTATAGATGGTGATAAGCCCTCTAAAGCGAGAGAAAAGTTTGATTCGGCATCAACAATTGTAGAGTCTGAAAATGGAAAGGCAGCAGCTGTGTCAGCTGGGCTAAAAGCTCGTGCAGTTGGTCCTGTTGAGAAAATCAAGTTTAAGGACGTGCTGAAGCGCAGAGGTGGACTTCAGGAGTATTTGGATTGCCGGTCAGTATCCAATCTTTAATCAGCTTTCCTTCTCTTGTTCTTTCTTGCGTTTTGATGTTAATTGTTTGAACCGAAAGCTATTCAGTCTTTGCTGACGTTTGCATTTTCACCCTGTCTATCTGTGTATGTGTTATCAGTTTTTTAATAAGTTCTAGCTATCATTTTTAAGATCAATGCATCTCATTACTGCATAATCCGACATGTTTTTTGAAGTGTTGTAAGGTGAAAGAAAACTTATAGAAGTTATTTTATGTTTTATCAAATTAAACATATTTTCCTTTCAGTTTTTCTTTGCAATTTGTGACGAAGATGTGAAGCCTGTTTTAATAGAGGATGAGGCGCTACAACTTTTTTGCCAGAGTTGACTATCTGGACTTCGGGAATTCCTATGGAATAACAATTTTATCATATTCCTCATTGGCTAAAAAGTCACTCACTTCCTGATTTACTAAGTAGATTACAATTTATGCCTTTATTCCCCAACGTGCTCCCATAATTCCTTCCACACATTTTTTTCTAAAATTTAATTTATTGGTTTTGGGTTAGTGATGGGTGATTGTTAATTTCATACGCCATCTACTTTTGGAAGGTTGTTTAGTTCAATACTGTTTAATTTGCTCTGCTTTAATGTCCCGTTTCTATTAATTTCTTAGTAGACTTTGAAATTATGCTTGACAGCAATGGAACAATAATTATTTGCTGCGGTGCAGGAATCATATTTTGAGTGTCTGGAATAAAGATGTCAGTCGCATTTTGCCACTAGAAGATTTTGGAGTGTCTGATACTCCTTTTATGGATGAACATCCACGCACTACTCTAATTAGGGATATCTATACATTTCTTGATCAACGTGTAAGTTCCAGAAATTGTTAATATTATCCGAATTTCGTTCTTGGTAGCTTATGAAAACTGATTTCTTAATCTTTTGTGGTTTGTTGATACTTCATAGATTATTTTTAAATACCTACGCCAACTGTTTACAGTGATTCAAAATTTCTTTTAAATTTTGTCTCTCATGTTTTTAATGCATTCCTACAGGGTTGTATAAATTTTGGAGTTGCTTCTGAAAAGCTTAAAGCAGAGAGCAATTCTAACCATGACTTGAAACTTCTAAAAGAGGAGAAGTTTCGGGAAAAATCTGGGGCTTCTTTTGCTGATTCTGAAGATGGAGTTTCCTTTATTCTTGGGAAGGTAAAGAGTTCCAAGACCTCCACCGTGGGAAAGAATGATAATTTGTCTGATGATGAAAAACAAGTTGGAAAAGCCAAAGCTGTGGGATTTGCAAATCTTCAAACCAGAGAATCATCTATCCAAATCGTTTGCGAAAGATGCTCCCCTGATGATTGTCAAGGAAATGGTTACCTTGATGCAAATGCAAAGCTTCCTGAAGGTGTGCTTGATTTGGATTATACAGGCTCTATTCCTTCAAGTGAAGACGAGAATGGCAGAACACTTCCTACTGTGGGTCCAGATTTAATATCTTCTGTTGAATCAGACATTGGTGGAGCAGTACCTATTATGCATTCAAAGTCCCCAAAAATCTCTGCTCAATCATTATCCTCAACTGGCGATGCTCTTATGCATTGTGACACTGAACCCAGGAAGAGAATTATTGTAGTAGGTGCAGGTCCTGCTGGATTAACTGCAGCACGCCACATGCAACGCCAAGGCTTCGATGTTACGGTTCTTGAGGCTAGGAGAAGAATAGGAGGTCGCGTGTTCACAGATCGCTCATCTTTCACAGTTCCAGTAGATCTTGGCGCTAGCATCATTACAGGTGTTGAGGCAGATGTAGCTACTGAAAGAAGACCAGACCCTTCGTCATTGGTTTGTGCTCAGTTGGGACTTGAGTTGACTGTATTGAACAGTGATTGTCCTCTTTATGACACCATGACTGGTGAGAAAGTTCCTGCACATCTGGATGAAGCCTTGGAAGCTGAATATAATAGCCTACTTGATGACATGGTAGTGCTAGTTGCCGAAAAGGGGGAATATGCAATGAGAATGTCTCTTGAAGAAGGTCTAGAATATGCGCTCAAGAGACGTCGCATGGCTTGTTCTGTACAGAATCAGGTGGACGGTGAATCGAATAAAATATTGGATACTCTCATGGACTCTGGAAAGATTGGTGTTGATAATGAAGTTATTGAGGCTCAAGGTTCTAAATCAGAGATTTTGAGCCCTCTTGAGAGGAGGGTCATGGATTGGCATTTTGCCAACTTAGAGTACGGTTGTGCTGCTCTGCTTAAAGAAGTATCACTTCCTTACTGGAATCAGGATGATGATTACGGAGGGTTTGGTGGAGCTCATTGTATGATTAAAGGGGGTTACAGTGCTGTTGTTGAATCTCTAGGAGAAGGACTTAGTATCCACTTGAACCACGTCGTCACAAATATTTCATATTTCACTAAGGATTGTAGTAGTAGTGATGAACTGAGTAACAAGGTTAAAATTTCTACATCAAATGGCAAGGAGTTTCTTGGAGATGCTGTCCTAGTCACAGTACCACTTGGCTGTCTGAAAGCAGAAACTATCAAATTTTCACCACCACTGCCCCAGTGGAAATATCTATCCATCAAGCGGCTTGGTTTTGGTGTTCTAAATAAAGTTGTGTTGGAGTTTCCTGAAGTATTTTGGGATGACACCATCGATTATTTTGGTACCACTGCTGAGGATACAGACCAGAGGGGACGGTGCTTTATGTTCTGGAATGTCAAGAAAACAGTTGGAGCACCTGTTCTTATAGCCTTGGTTGTTGGTAAGTCTGCTATAGATGGTCAAAATATGAGCCCTTCTGACCATGTTACCTATGCCTTGGTTGTTCTCCGGAAAATTTTTGGGGAAGAACGAGTTCTTGATCCTGTTGCATCTGTAGTGACCGATTGGGGAAGGGATCCTTACAGCTATGGTGCTTACTCCTATGTTGCAGTTGGTTCCTCAGGAGAAGACTATGATATTTTGGGCAGGCCAGTGGAGAACTGTTTATTCTTTGCTGGTGAAGCAACCTGCAAGGAGCATCCTGACACTGTAGGTGGTGCAATGATGAGTGGGCTTCGAGAGGCTATACGTATTAATGATATATTGAGTACAGGAACTGATTATGCTGCAGAAGTAGAGTCCATGGAGGCTGCAAGGAGGCGTTCTGCCAGTGAAAGGAGTGAAATGAGGGATATTATCACGAGACTTGATGCAGTGGAACTATCAAGTATTCTGTGTAAGCATTCTTTGGAAGGGACCCCAATTTTGACCAGGGGTAGTCTACTCCGGGATATGTTTTTCACTGCTAATACTACAGCTGGAAGATTGCATCTGGCTAAAGAACTGTTAAGCCTTCCTGTTGGATTTCTCAAGACTTTCGCTGGGACTAAAGAAGGGCTAAGCACGCTCAATTCATGGATTCTGGTGTGTGCTCTCTCTTGATGTTCTGTTTCTACGCCAATGTTCAATTCATGTTGTGAATGTTGTTTGAATTAACTATTTTTGATTGGTTGTCGGAATTTTATTGTTCATGACAGGATTCCATGGGGAAGGATGGAACTCAGCTCTTGCGTCACTGTGTCCGTCTACTTGTACTTGTCTCAACTGATTTACTTGCAGTTCGCTTATCAGGTATTATTCCGTCACATTAGTCTTGTTTTGAATGCGGTCACGGCAGGGCTTATATGTAGGTTTATGTAAGGATCAGTTTGTCTGTTGAAAAGGGTCTAATAGCCGTTAGCATGGACTTTGGAAGTTGTTTCTTTCAGATGCTTGTATAGTATTATCTTTTGGTTAATCCTTCAGGTTTTTTTTGTGCTCTCATAATCTAGATCGTTTTCATTGGGAAAGACAGTGATTGTTTGCTTGTAATTGCATTATGGTTAATGAACTTTCATTTGAGCATTTTTTGCTAGTTCTTGTTATTAGTAATCTACAGTGTTAGGGCATCCCTGGCTTTTGATAACTTATTTTAACTCAATCAAGTAGTGATAGTTTTGGTTGGCATGGTGTCACACATTGAACGTCATTTTTTCTGTGTAGGTATTGGAAAAACTGTAAAAGAAAAAGTCTGTGTACATACCAGCCGTGATATACGTGCCATAGCAAGCCAGCTAGTAAGTGTATGGGTCGAAATTTTCCGTAAGGAGAAGGCATCTAATGGCGGGCTGAGATTACTGAGACAACCAAATACTCTGGACTCGTCAAAAAGCAAGTCTTCTGTAGTGTCAGGAAAGCCTCCTTTATTCATACCTAATGCTGCAACAGAGAGCAAGGGAAGCCCTAAAGCTTCTGCATCTGCTGGCCACCAGTATCCTAAAAATGCAAGCACTAAAAAAGTGAGCAACAGACCTGTCAAAGCAGAAACAAGATTTGACTCAAAATCAGAGGTTAAATTGTCAGCCTCTCATGGTTCAGTAGGAAGGCCACAAGGATCCCGATTCCTCAGATCCACCAGAATAACTTGAGGATTTCATTGCCGGAGATGGAAATAGGTAGGAGAGGCCATCGACGTGGGCTTTTGAGACGGAGATGCTGAAGCAGAGCCTCCACCGAACATTGTGGCCGACATTGTGAAGATCTGGTTTCTCTTAAAATTTTGAAATTGGTGCGCAGATGTTCGCTGCCTAGGGAGGGAGGG